TCCTATCTGATTGAACATGAGGTCCTTTCCTTGGGAATGAATGTATAACCAGTACCATAAACTGGAAGTCCATGGCAGGACCCTAGGGGAGAACTTACTATGCTAAGTGGACATGTAGCCAAACTGCCTTCTACCTCTCGGCCAGAAAAGCTTCTTTCTGCAATGGAAGACAGTTAATGCAGGGACTCAACAGCCCAGGGGACAGAATAAGGGAATCCTGAGTGCTCACTTCTGTTGTATGTTTTCCTCGCCGCCGGTCCCCAATTAACACACAGAGATGCTGTATTAGATATAATTCTGTTGGCCAGGTACTTGTTTCTTATCGGCTAGCTTTAAGTATTAACCCATTTCTATTAATCTAAGTATGTCCACGTGGTCTCATCTTACCAGAGAGCGGGCTGGTGTTCTGCTCTCTCCAATCTCCCCATGCTGACTCCTCCTTACTACTTCCTCTTTCCTCCTTGTCTCCTAGTCCCGCCTATCTTGCTTTCCTATTGGCCAACAGTGCTTTATTCATTAACCAGCATGAGAAACACGTTTACAGAATGACATCTCCCATCACAGTTCTGTTCAGGACTTTGGCATTACCCCTTCCAAGGCCCAGGAGACAACACAGAATGGGTACAGGGTAGAAGGATTCTAAAACTCAGGGAACAGAAGAGAGTGCTCTGAAATTGTCTTCTGGATAAAATATGGTTGGTGTAGTCATGGACACATGGCAAGTGTGGCTGACTGCACAAAGTGTGTCTAGCCAGTGGTGGCTCATGCCTTTAATCCAGTGGTTTCTCAACCTTCCTAACACTGCAACCCTTTCATCCAGTTCCACATGTTGTGGTGACCACCTGTCTTAGTTAGGGTTTCTATACAGAAGAGACACCATGACCACCGCAACTTTGTTTGTTTGTTTGTTTGTTTGAGGCATGGGTTCTCTGTGTAACAGCCCTGGTTGCCCTGGAACTCACTCTGTAGACCAGGCTGGCCTTGAACTCACAGAGATCCACCTGTCTCTACCTCCAGAGTGCTGGGCTTAAAGGCATGCACCACCACCGCCCAGGCACAACAACTCTTAGAAAGGAAAATATTTAATTGGGGCTGACTTACATTGCATCATTGCCACAGTGGGAAACATAGTGGCATGCATGTAGACATGGTGCTGGAGAAGAAGGTAAAGTTCTACATCTTGATCCGCAGGCAGCAGGAGAGACTGTGTCCCACACTGGGCACAGCTTGATCATATGAGACCTCAGAGCCCTCCTACACAGTGACACACTTCCTCCAACAAGGCCACACCTCTAGTACCCCCAAGCCTTATGGGCCAAGCATTCACGCAATGAGTCTATGGGGGTCGTACCCAACCGAACCACCACATTCCCCCAACCATAGAATTATTTTCGTTGCTACTTCATAACTGTAATTATGCTACTGTTATGAATTATAATGTAAATATCTGATATGGAGATAGTCTTAGATGACCCTCTGAGGGATCTCCATCCAAAGGTTGAAAACCACTGCTTTAATCCCAGCAGAGACCGGTGAGTTCAAGGCCAGCCTGGTCTACAGAGCAAGTTCCAGGGCCACACAGAGAAACTGTCTCAAAACAAAACAGAACAAAACTAAAATGTAAATGGGAGGAGGATTTTTGGGGAAGGGGAGGTGCAGAGTGGGAGAAGAAGAGAGAATAATAGACATGAGTATATATATTGTATACTAATTTTTAAAAGCTTAAAAATTAAAAATAATAAAATTCTTAAATGACTAAGACTGACTAAACTTGCTTTGTATCTGTGGTAATCTTTACAACATGATGAGCCACATTTATGCTAACAGATCTTGTCCTGGCTCACCTTGACTGTAACTTGGCTGAGAAACTGCCAGGATCAGACTGGTGTGTGGACACGTCTGTGGGAGATTGCTTTGGTAATTAACTGACTTGGGGGCTCAGCCCGCTGTGGGCAGTACCATCCTTAGGCTGGTAGCCCTGGGCAGGTTAAAGAGAGCTAAGCATGAGCCTGAAGCAAGCTGTAAGCATTTGCTCCAGGGTTACTGTTTCGGGTTCCCTCTGGACTTCCCTTTACGATCGACTGGGACCTGGAAAACGAAGATGAAATAAACCCTCTCCTCCTCTAAGTTGCTTGTGGTTAACGTTTTATCACAGCAGTAGAAAGCAAACTAGAATTGACCTAGAGAAGTATTAAAGGTGAAAAAAAAAATATCGCAACTGACAAATTTAAAATAAAACAAAAAGATCTCAAGAGAAAGGAGGGAAGAAATATAAAACCCGAGATGAAACAGAGAGCATCCTGAACCAATAGTTAGAAAACATAAAGGGGAAACTGCCTTAAATTTGAGCTGCTCTGAGTTACTTAGCATGAAGTGGAAACATTAGATCCCTGGCTTTAATACAAAGAAAGAACAAGGGTAGATTGCAAACTTTTCTAACCTTTGTTATGAGATGTGCTTCTAAACACTAGGCCTTGGGGCTGAGGATGTAAGCCATGCAATCACAAGGTCCTGGGTCTGATCCCAGCACAGACTAAACATGGGAGTGGTCTGTGATCCCAGCACTTGAGAAATAAAGGCAGGAAGATCAGAAGTAGGCTCGGTGGTTAAGACAGCAAACTGCTCTTCCAGAAGGTTGATTCCTGCAACCATGCCAGGCAGCTCACAGCTGCCTATAACTCCAGCTCCATGGGGGATCCAATTGATACCTCTGGCCTCTTCAGACAAACGAGCTTATGCTCAGACACACACATGCATACAAAAGGTGCTGACAGGTAAGAGTTAAGCTCTGTAATGTTTCAGGAATTTACTTTTCCTCCACCCAGCACACCCAGCAACCTTCTTCTGGCCCATTGGCCTGTGACATTGAGGGAGGAGACAGGAGAAACTGCCTTAAACAGACACGCAAAAATGCAGGCGGTCCTGGCAGCCCAAGAGCCTCATTCAAGTCATCCTACCAAGATAGGAACACAAGCAAGAATTAATTACTCGTCAGACATTAAAATATGTACGTGGTGGGACAGGGACAGAGTACTTGCATAACACGCTTGATAAATGCAAATTAAAACCACAGTGGCGTGCTGCTGGCCATTTTTATCTCAGTAACAGAACTTAAAAGTGACACGCAGCAGGGTCAAGGCAACAGTTTGCATCAACAAATCACCATACAGAACACAAGAGGAAGGCTGGGGTGACAAACTGATAGATTGAGATCAGCAGAGAAAGCCGAGCACCAAAGCCAGATGCAGGGGGCTACAGTGCCCAGGATGATGTCCCGGAGAACTCACGATTTGTCACTATGGTGAAATCTGTGCAGGTACTGAGTGAGGCTCTATCTACACAGACCACCGTTGATCAAGACACTGACCACATTTCTGGACTCACTGCCTCCTGTGTCCGCACAGCCAGCAACAACTGAAGCCTTTTCTCCCATGGTTTGACTCTGGCATCCTTTTTCCCTCGGTCAGGTAAGAGCTCTTAAGGAAACGTGTGATTATTGCGGCCTGCTGAGGCAGCCCAGGATAACCAACTTTAATGATACGCAGTTACAGGTTTAACTAATCACAGAAAAAAATATACAAAGCGGGCTGGGAAAGAGGCTACAGGGGAGCTGGCCAGCATTAGTCAAGGCTGTCGACGTAACAAAGAAAGGGTCAGCAAGGCGGCTCGACAAGGAAACCCACCTGCTGCAGGGAACCATGGAGATGGCCTGGTCTAGGTGCCTTGAGGGGCATCCGACATGTTTACAGGTTAGAGTGTAAGGCTCCTGGGGCACTGTGTGCCTGCCTTCCAGTTCCTGAAAGGGTACACACTCTCAAGCAGTGAAGCCTTCAGGCCACTTTGTGTTTCTGCTCCCTCAGAAGTCAAGGAAGCATGGAAACTTGACAGGACAATTGTTCTTAGACCTTAACCTTGTGTGTCCTGTATAGCTTGCAGATTTCATTGTATCCTGGCAATACAACTGCATTGTCATTATATTCTGTTTCTGATAAAGGCATAAAAAGTCTGACTGCTCTCAACAGAATTGTCACAGCCTTAGTTATACTGTGGTTCCCCCAACCAGCCCGGTTTAATTCCGTATCAGATGACGTTGGTCCAGTAAGTACACACTGGCACTTACGATCTGCTCCTGCTCCATGGCGCACCCAGAGAGAGGCACACACACTCACAACTGAGAGAAAGACAGACAGACGGGGAAACAGAACTGGCAAGATGGACTAAGAAACTTGAAGAAGGGCTGGGGAGACACAAGAAGCGGGAATAATAGTCTAGATTAGCTCACAAAACAAAGGTTATTAATGGGAAAAGTAGTGAAATTCAAATACAAACTTGAGCTCAGTAACCCATTAACTGAAATGCCAGCCAAGGGGAACTCTGTAAGCAGGAAGCACTTTTCTAGAACCTAGTACTTTTCTTAAAGTTCATCTTTAGCATGTTGCAAGACTGAGTTTATTATTTTGGAGAAAACAACCTACAGACTTTGTATCTTAGAAGACATCTGCGCTGCAGAATGCTGTAAGAAGCCCTGGTCAAGCCAGGCGGTGGTGGCGCATGCTTTTAGTCCCAGCACTCTGGAGGCAGATGGATCTCTGTGAGTTCGAGACCAGCCTGGTCTACAAGAGCTAGTTCTAGTCTACAGGCTCCAAAGCTACACAGAGAAACCCTGTCTTGAAAAACCAAAACCAAAACTAAACAAACAAAAAAAAAAAAAAAGTGCCCTGGACAAGGCTTTTCTGTTGCCTTCCTGAACATTCTGAGTATTCCAAATACACCGCCTTCACCTTCTCACAAAAAAAAAAAAAAAAACACAAAAACAAAAACAAAAAAAAACAAAGTAATTAATTTAGCCAAGCATAGGAGGAAAAAGGGACAGGAAGTTGCTATTCCATGTACATGACGTTCCAGGCTGAGAACATTATTACAAGGTTCTGCAGGCAAATGATGGTGACGGCTGTGCAACAGTTTGAATGTACTCAATGCCCCTGAGCAACACACTGAACAGTGGTTAAAACGGGAAACTTTATATTATGTATATTTCACAACTTAAAGGACAGGGTACAAATACATATCATAGCATAGATAAAATTTATATAACATTATCTAAATCTCGTCATACACAAAACTCATGTGAATCTGTTGACAGGAAAATGTCATATTCCCCCCCAAAAAAACACTGCACTTTAGTTTAAACTGGTTACGATTGACTCTGACTCGGGATGGTTGGAAGGAAGATGAGGAAAGCCAGTGCCTGACCGCATGGTTCTCCAGCCACAGGGCAAGAGCAAAGGCAGGGCTGAAAAGCAGGAATGAAGCTGAGCAAAGGCCTTTACGCTGGCTCCCTCCATCACTGAGCCACGTATGCGGAACGGTCCATTCACCTCTGCTCCAAGTAGCATCAGCTACATCCAAGCCTGAACTGGAAGACAGACTCCAGTAGTGGAAGACTTTGTGGAGAACGCATCAGAGAATTCATAGCTTAGGTGAAGTAGAACAAGGAGATTTGTACACACGCAGACTCTCTCCAAAGCCGAGGCTTGCACAGGGAAAGATGAAGGATGCAGTGAAGGCTCAAAAACTTTTCATCCAGCTCTGCAGTCAATCCAAAGTCCCTAAAGACAAGGGCAATGTGTGAAGAAAGGTCTCGGTCTGGGGGAGTATCACAACCCGGGCGAAGGCAAAGCACATGGGTGTTGCTGGTAACAGCAATCCCAACCTGAGGGATACCTATCCCAAAGACCCAGGCATGGGGAGATGTCATTAGAGAGGGATGTCAGTTAGGAACTAAGCCTATTAATGCACAGAATTGAAGTTAAAGCTGGAAAAGAGCTAAAGAATTGATACAATAATCAGTGACCATTAAAAAAAAAAATGATAAAGGCTCTCTAAGCAAAGCTTTTATAATTTTAAAAGACTCCCTTTTAATTACATGTGATTTTGTATGTGAGTGCGTGTAAATCAGTGCCCACAGAGCCCAAAAGAAGGCTTAAGATCCCCTGGAGCCGGAGTTACAGGAGGCTGTGAGCCTCCAGTGCAGATGCTGGAACCGAGCTGGGACGCTCTGCTATAGTAAAGTCTCAACTGCTGAGCCATCTCTCCAGTCCCTCTAACCCTGCCTCAGTCTCCTAAGGACTGGGATTTATAGGCTGAGCCACCTTGCCTAGCAACTTTGGCAAATCTTATTAAAGCTAAACTTATTTTAAAAATAAAATTTCTCAACAATTAAAAAGGAATCAAGAGGCAAATCTACAACTTAGACAGGGCAAAGTCACTAAGTAAGGCCAGCCTCCAAAGCTATGGTGGCCCTGAAGGCATCTGACAGTCTGAGAGAGGGCCGGAAGGCTGAAGGAAGCAACAGTCAAACCTCGGAGTCTGTCCAAATGGGAAGATGGAGTTAAGTGGGAGTCTCAAAATCATTACTAGAAATAACAACAGTCCATCTATAAATTAAATACTACAGGCTGTCACAAACAACGTAATATTAAACTTGCAGCAGACATTGGGAAGATAGAAGGTATTCAAAAAGAACATATGAAGAGTGCTGGCTGCTCTTCCAGAGGACCCTAGTTAGTTCACAGCACCCACATGGCAGCTCATAACCACCTGTAACTCCAGCTCCTGGGACAGGGTGCTTCTTCAGGCCCCTGTGGGTACCTGCACACATATGTGGCATTATCATACAGTCACATACAAAAAACACATACATGTAAATAAAAGTTAATCTTTTGATAAGGGGCGAGACTGATATTTAGGGATGGAGATTTGAGTGGGAGTCAAACTCCAAGTCCAGCTAACTCCACTAGTGTTTTCTACACTCCCTACTCCTTTTAAGCTAGCAGTTTTCCCATAGAAACTGTAATTATGGGGAAAAAATCATTTTTCCATAAAAATGGGAAGCAAGGAGAACTGTTCTCATGTGTACAGAGGAGAGCCAGGAATCTGTCTTTAAAAGGTTTGAGCTCACATCATCTGCAGGGGAATGATTTGTGGAGATGGTGAACTCACCTTCTAGAAAAGCGAATTCATCCACAGCTTCTATTGCATTATCTGGAAAACAAGAGAACGGGATACTTGATTAGCTCTTGTCATTTATACAGCAGACCCAAAACTGAACAATCCACTTAATGCCAAGGCATGCGGTTCTATGCAAGTGGCATTTATAAAGTATATTCCCTGATGTTGTGAGATCCAGTTTTATACTATTAATTCTTACTGTAAAAGCCCTCCCAAGACAGTTCTAATACCTAACACGGGCAAGGGTTACCAGCTAGATCAATAAATCAAAATCCAAACTTCCCCTTCCCTCAGTGATGCCGTGTGAACCAGCGATAAGAAGGCCTGGCTGGCGGGGAGTGGTGGCTCACGCCTTTAACCCCAGCACCCGGGAGGCAGGGGTAGCAGAATCGCTGAGTTCCAGGCCAGCCTGGCCTACAGGGCAAAGCTCTGGCTAGACAATATTACACAGAGAAACCCTGTCTGGAAAAGCAAAAACCGAAGGAAAGAAAGCAAGGCAGCCCAGTCCACGGTCCCCTTGTCCACCCTGAGCTGCTGCAGGGATTACCCAAATCTCTCCTCTGGAGGGTTTTCCTCTTCCCTTGCTGAGCACAGCAGTAGGCATCTTTCGCAATGGTCTCCACGAACAGTTCCTGTGAAACAAACAAGCAGAAGGGAGAGACTAGTTGGCTCTCAGTCCACCGAGGTGGGCGATCCTGTGTGTATAAGCGGGTCAAGAAAGTTCCAGAAGCTAAGGCAAGGCTGCTCTTAAATTCATGAAGATACTTCTCTGTCATTCCTTTCCCTGACAGGCTAGCTCATCATTCCCCTGCTGATTCATTCACTAGGGACCCCCGCGCCCGCGCCCCGACGTCAAGTTCTGCTGTGTGAGCCCCGCAGACGCAAACTAAAGAGGCTAACAAAGTCAAAGCGCCACGCAGAAGCAGAAGTCAGCTCAGCACACCCGGGCCCGCCGCGCCGCGCGCCACGCCCCCAGCGCCACGCCCCCACCCCAGCGCCACGCCCCCGCCCCAGCGCCACGCCCCCCGCCCCGGAGCCCTTACTGTCCCGCCGCACTGCGCCACGCCCCTCGCCACGCCCCCGCCCCAGCGCCACGCCCCCCACCCCAGCGCCACGCCCCCCACCCCAGCGCCACGCCCCCCACCCCAGCGCCACGCCCCCCACCCCAGCGCCACGCCCCCCGCCCCGGCGCCCTTACTGTCCCGCCGCACTGCGCCACGCCCCTCGCCACGCCCCCTCGCGCCGCGCCACGCCCCCGCCCGGCGTCCCCGCTCTCCCGCCGCACCGCGGCACGCGCCAGGATGAAGATGGCTTCCTGTCCCGCGAGCGTGACGTCAGGGTCCGCCTTCACCAAAGCCTTGACCCTGGCCAGAGGCAGCCTGGAGAGCCGAGCCCCGGATGCGCTCGCCGGGGCTTGGGCCTGCGTAGCTGCTGCCTCCCCTCCGGGAGCCTCCTCCTCTCGGGGCGCCCCGCTCCCAGCAGCCGCCGCCGCCATCGCCGCCCCGGACGTGCTGCGCGCGCACACGCGGCGCCGCCCGGAGGACGCCACGCCCCTCGGCGTGGGCGTGGCCCTCCCTCCCAGGCGGGGCGCGCCGGAAACGCCCTCCCTGCCTGCCTGCGCTTGGCGCTGCCTTCCGGGCGGAAGCAGCCGGCCGGGTGTAGCCCGGCTGAGCCGGAAGTCCGGGTACCTGACCCGTGCTCGGGTGGCGTGCGGGCTTGGCAAGTTGTGCCCCGTTGTTAAAACGCCTAAAATAGTAATAATAATAATTAAAGGCCTAAAAAAATAATAATTAAAGTTCACTCAAACCTTGTGTTTTTGCTTTGGGTTTATGTCTTAAAGTACATGACAAGTAACTTCAAAAATAGAAGTCTCCTTTAGAAAGCCATGGGTTCGCCTATCTGCTTCCGGGCATTAGTTCTTAGGCTTGTGCACGGTAATGCACAGTCCCAGCGCACCTTGAGAGACTAGTGACCGCCTCTGGGTATTAAGAAAACACTTCGGTGGGGTGTGGTGGCGCACACCCTCGATCCAGGCACGCAAGTAACAGAAGCTGATCAGTCCCTGAGTTCGAGGCCAGCCTGGTCTACAGGGAGGGGTTCCAAGCCCCCCAGGATGACGTAGGGAGTGTTTGACCGCACAGACCTCCAAAGAGGATCTCCAGTTCCCCATGGGTTCTCACACCACACTGAGAGCTGGCGTGGATTAATACTGTCAACAGGCAAGGGAGATGGCTCGGTCAGTAAAGTACCAGCTGGACACCAAGGGCCTGAGCTCAAAGCACAAGAACACAGTAAAAGGCCAAGGTGACAGCCAACTCCTGTGTCCTCTGCACTAAAGCAGGGGTTGCTGGAGCCACCTAGCCTAACCAGTGAACTTCCGGTTCCGTGTCAGAAGCTGTCTCAAAAAATAAAGGTGGATGAAGAAACGACATCCATTATGGACCGTAAGCCTTTACACTAATAAATACATCCAACACACAGAATTTTTATTATGCCATAATAAAAACGCCTTTAAAAATTGTGTACCTAGTTGAACGCATTGTATAAACATCATTAACGTTTAGTCTTAATACCTGCGCTATGAGGGCAGGTAAGTAATTTTATTTACAATTAAGGCTGAGCCACGGTGCTCAGTAGTGCGCCTGTGGAAGAACCGGAAACCGTAGTCACATTGCATTGGGTAATAACCTGAAATCATTCACTTCCAAATTTAAGTAACTAACCTTGACTGGATCTTCACACAGCGCCCCCACTGGAGCACAATGAGTCTTGGCCAGAATTAAAAGCTCCAGGGGAAGAGAGATGAGTCATTGAACCAGAGATTTCCTCCGGACCTTTGCCTTGAATTCTCCCTAGTTTGTTCGTGAAAAAAGAGGAACAAACATACCAGGGAACTTCATTCTCATTGATTGATTGTAGAAACTGCCTAGATTTCTAATCTTTTCTCCCCAACTTTGAAATGATATAAATCCAGTGTAACCCATAATGATCTCTGAAGGTGGAGGTTCCTCCCATCCTCTCCTCCATTTTATAACACCTACCAGGTCCTCTGTGTGCCTGGACCATGGAGGTTGTGTCTCTGGATCTTTTGTTCTGACCCAAAACTTTTCTCAACTTCAAATCCCAGCCTCTCTTCCTTCTGGAAACGTTTCTTCCTGCTCATGGCTCCACAGTTGAAGTTAAATCACTCATACCACTGAACACCTGCCTGTCCTTAAGAGCCCTGGCCCCAGTAATAGCACCTGGCCTCTCCCTGTTTGATCATCATCATCATCATCATCATCATCATCATCATCATCATTATCAGTATTCAACTACTCCACCATCCCCAGATTGGAAACTGAAGGGAGATGTCCCTATCTGGTTTTGTTCACTGAGTTTCAACTATGGTAAAGTGCCTGACACTTAGCATGTATTTAGCATGTATTTAGCATCATTAACAATAGCTCATCTGAAATTGACATCTCCTCAGAAAGCATGTTAGAATCTGAGGGCAAAAGTCATTATTTGAAAATTCCCGCTAAGGGTTTTTAGTCATCCCTGAAAACACTACCTGGTGTCTTGAACAATATTTTTATTTTTCTTATTTTTATTTTTTTCCTGGTATTTTGAGACTGTAGCCCAGACAGTCCTCCTACTTCAGCTTCTCAAGTGCTGGGGTTACCAACCAGAGGCTTCACACTCAGCTTCAAGCACTAACTTGATATTTGCTTATGTAATCTGTCTAACAAAAAGCAAATACACTTTGCAACTTTAAAAACTTGTAAAATCAGTTAGGAAACGTAATGTGTCCTTTGGATGTACCCTCCCTTTATTCAGCCTCCTCTGTGTAAACAGCACTACACAGCAGCATGCTCAGAAGTCAGCATTCAGTTGTCCTTGGCTCTCATCTGTGGGCTCTGGCTGCCCTTGGAATGGTTTATGAGCCACTCTGAGTAGCAATCATGAAGGACCAAAGGCTATCCTAACTCATTCCCAGCAGATTCCTTTTCAGCTCAGTGGTCTGGGATATTGGATTTCCTTATTCTCAAGAAATAATGTGAAGAATGGGAGCGGTTTGTAGTCTGTAAGAAGAGAGGAGAGCCTGAGGTTCAGGGCCTTGCCGTAGATAAATGGCAGGTACAACGGGCAGCCATAAAGTTGTATGTAGAGCTGAGTGTGGTGTGCACACCTGGCTCCCGGCACTCAGAAGGCACAGGTGAGAGGGTGGCCCAACCCCTCCCCTTCACCCTTCACAGTTCCCAGTCCCACCCCACCTCCCTGTGCCCCAATTTCCTGTCCTCTTATTTTTTGAACTATTTGAATGCTAGGTTTAATCCCCAGAGAATGTGTAGGCTGTTATGGTTTGTGTGTGTCTGTGTGTCTGTGTGTGCGTATGTGCCTGTCTGTGTGTGTGTGTGTGTGTGTGTGTGTGTGTGTGTACCTAAGAGGTCAGAGGATTGGAACCTTTAAACCACCCAGTATGGATTCTGGGGGTTGGAACTGGGTACTCTGGGGTCACTGCTCTTGGCCACTGAGCCATCTGTCCAGTTCCCTCTTGGGAGTACTTTTTTTATCAGTATTAATTTTAACACTGTTCTCTTCTATGTTGATTTGTTTTGTTTTAATTTCTGACACAGAGTTGTCTGACACTCGTGGTAATCTTCCTATCTGAGCCTTGTAAATGCTGAGATTATAACCCTATAACCTATAGGTGTGCAGCGTCACACCCAGCTGAGACTTCAGGTTTGTCACTCATTTTGGACTTGCTACCTAGGCTGAAAGCAGACTCAGAGTCCTATGAACCATGACCCCCTTGGCCAGCAAGGAAAGTCCCCAAATAAGCTGAGATGAAGCTGGTATTGAGACTCATCAGGAAGTCGGTTTTCATAACTGTCATTCTGCTTACTTCAGGAAGAGTGGTAAGAAGCTTTGCCACTTGAAGAAGCAGCAGAACTTCCATCCAGCTGAAAACTTCACACAGGTTTTGGTGCTGCTAAAACAATGCTACCTGCCATCACTGGTGACAGCACATTGCCAAAATTTGTAGAGTGAAAAGAACTCAGACGGCAGCCAACAATCACACAGACCAAATATTCAGCAATAGACCTAAGGAGGAGATGAAAGATGTGGTATAGCCAGTCTCCTGGGAACCAAATGGAATAGGATTATTGAACACTGTGTTTTGCAGAAAGAAAAGGTGGTAGAAACTTCTAGAAGAAGGGAGAGAAGGATGGGAACTATAATCAGCAGCAAATCCACTGTAGCACAGGTTCTAATTGGTTTTAATAATAAAAACCCAGAGTCGGATATTAGGGTGTGGATTGTGGCAGTATCTTGTTTGTACTCTAACAATAAAGCTTGCCTGAAGATTAGAGGGTGGAGCTAGCCACTAGTTAACCATAGAGGTCTGGAGGTCTGTACAGACAGACAGGAAGTGATTAGGTGTGAGGAGACAGGAGCTCACTCTCTTTTCAGTAAGAGGATTTCGTACAGGTAAGCGCTCTAGCGGCTGGCGGCTCTGCTTCTCTGATCTTTCAGCTTTCACCCTAGAAAGAATATCTCTGCATGCCTTTCACCGCTGGACTCCTAAGAATTTCACTGAGGTATAAGGCTCTTGTATGTTGATTAGATTTGTTTCTCATCTGTGGCAGTTTGAATGTAATTGGTCCCCATAAGCTCATAGGGAGCGGCACTATTAGGGGGTGTGGCTTTGTTGGAGGAAGAGTGTTACTGTGGGCTGGGCTTTGAGGTTTCCTATGCTAGGTATACCTCCCAGTGTCTCAGTCCACTTCCTGTTCCTTCGATATGTAGGACTCAGCTACTTCTCCAGCACCACGCCTGCTTGCACACTATCATGCTTCCTGTCATGATGACGGTGGACTGAACTTCTGGAACTGTAAGCGAGCCACGCCAATTGAAGGTTCTCCTTTATGAGAGTCGCTGTGGTCATGGTGTCTCTTCATAGCAATGGAAACACTAGCTGAGGCACCGTCCTCGGGTGCACATACGTGTTCCCAACAACTACCGCCTGCTCACTGGCTCTCATCAGCATAATGTCATCAACTAAGTGAACCAATGTGATATTTTGTGGAAGAGAGACTATCAAGATCCATTCAAATTAAATTATGGCCCAGGATTGGAGAGTTAACTTTTCCATCTTTGAGTTAAGACTGTAAATGTATACTTCTGGCCTCGCCAACGGAAAGCAAACTATTACTCATGGTTCTTAGGGACAGATACTGAGGAAAGGACATTTGCCAGATCAATAGCTGCATACCATGCACCATGAGGTGTATTAATCTGCTCAACTAAGGACGCTGTGTCAGGGATAGCAGATAAAATCGGAGCCACTGCTTGACTGAGTTTCCAGTAATCAACTATCATTCTCCATGACCCATCTGCCTCCTGCACTGGCCAGATGGAGTTAAAGGGACTAGTGGCATTTGCCGCGACAGCTTTCAAGTTCTTAATGGTGGCAGTAATTTCTGCACTTCCTCTAGGGATGCAATACTGTTTTTAATTCACTGT